GGTCAGGGAGGGGGAGACCCTGTACAACATCGAGACCCGGCGGCTGCCGGTGGCGCTCCGCGAGATGAACTGGCTCGACTACCTCGGTACGGGGCGGGAGCGGGCCCGGGAGCGGGAGCGCGTTTTCCCGTAGATAATAAAAATAAAGGAGCAGCCGGGATCTTCTCTGTCCGGAATCCGCCGCGCAGGCGGCCGCGGGCTGTTGGGAAGCGCCGCTCTCTTTGTCCGAGGCTGCTCGCTCGCTGCCAGGAAAACTGGTTTGTGCTGGTTTTTTGCACCCTAGTGGTGACGTATTAAAGTATGCCTACGTATGCTGTATAGGCTGTCTTAGATATGTATTAATTTTAAAAAAAATATTTTCTTTTTAGCTAAAGGAGGAAGCAAAAGGGCACTGGAAGAGGCAGCAACGGTAGGTTTCTAGCATAAATATCAAACTTCCCTGACGGCGTTGTGTACCTCTAGGAAACAAAGGGTTTCCTGAGTTTGTAGGAGCGTCACGATGGCAGAGGTTACATAAATACCGTCACAAATACTGCTTTAAGACTTAGTAAGAGATGCCCCTCGTATCCAATATAGGGTTTGCGTGCTCATACTGCTCCTTGGCCGTCTTCCCTTACCTGCTTGATTTCACTCCCAGGTCCCTGAGAGCACATGTGCTTTTCAGTACATTAAAGCATTTCTAAATTGGTTGAGCAGCAGGGTGTAGGTGAAGCATATCTGCAGCTGCCAAATAAGGCATGTTGGTCCTGAATGGCATGCGGACCTCACGTGTTGTGTCACCTCCAGAATAACGTGAAAGGTCCCAGTTTGAGCACAGCAGAACACATGGAGGTATTATTGCTATAAAATAATTAAGGATTTTCTCTACAACGGGGATTTCTCAGAACTGTATGCTACTCGTAATCCTAATGGTGTCGTGACTGTTTTTAATTTTAGGCAGACTTGGAAATAACAGAAATAAACAAGTTAACAGCAGAAGTTATCCAGACTCCTTTAAAAATCATCAAGAAAGGTCAGTTTGTTTTTAGCATTGCGATGAGTTCAGCGAGGTGAAAGCATGTCGTGGTTTACATACTGTGAATAATAATTCAGTTTGTTCTTACATCCCTCAGTATATTTAAAGACAAGAAAATAATCCTGGTTTTATCCCTACTTTCTGCAGTGGCTCTACTTAATTTTATTAAAACACTTAATTCAAAACAGTGCTCTGTTAACCATTTGGATTACATTGGGATTTGGATTTCAGAAGCAAATTGTTGCCCAAAATGCTTGTGGTTGTTTACTGTTTACCACCGCTGCTAACTAATAATGTAAAGTTATTATTTATTTTCAACTTAGTTAACGCTTTCTCTTTCTAGTGGAAAAATCTAAGCAGGATATTGAAGCTATTGAAGAAGAAGCAGAACCTCCTTTGCTTCCTCTAGCAAAGAAAGCAAAACATGATAGCCAATGTCTTCCAGAGCTAGAAGCTGAAAACGTTAATCCAAGAACTGGAAAGGTAAGTAGCTATTCTCTGTGATGACTTTATTCCCAGGATATGAACTACTTACTGAGGCGATGCCTATGATAATAGAGCTGTCTGGGATACTTTGAGGGGGACTTCAAAACAGGTATCGCTTCCTGAAATGTCTAGTGATAGGAGAGGGTCACAGAAGCTTGTCTGGTGTTTGTTTCTGGACTCTTGTGCGATAAAAAGGGGCCTGTTGAGCCAAACGTTTTGTATGGCAGCATTTGTTCATGATTTGATTTGGTGAGTAATTTGTGTTTCAAAAGTAACTGATTTGTATTTCAAAAGTAACTGATTTGGTGAGTAATATGTATTTCAGGTGAAGGCATCCACTAAAAAAGTGCCAGTGTCCAGGAGTAGGAGAGCTCCTTCAGCAAGAGTGAAGCGCATGAGTAAAAGGTAATAGGGGATATCTTTTTTACCGGGTTTCAGAAAGGGTGTATAATGCTAATATAGCTCTTACATGGAATGGAGCATGGTTTAGCAGGCTGGTTGATGTAGTTGTGCCATGCTATAGGAAAAAATCTGTGATCTGACAGCGAATGAAAGATGGGCAACTTCCTCTCCTGTGATGACTGGCTATCCTTGGCTTTGGGGTTTACTTTTCATTAGTAAGAACCTCTGTTTTCTTGTGGTGATGACCTCATTCAAGTCTTTGATAAGATAGTGCTTGTACATTTGTTAAAAGTATTCTTATGACCAAATGTTTGTTTGTTTGTTTCCCTTTAACAGATCAAGCAAAACCAACTTTATCACTCCAGCTAATGGCAGAACTGTTGATCTCTGTGCCCGGGGAGGTACCTCCATGGTCACACCCAAATTTGATTCCAGGTTTGTATTCTGTTAAATTTATCGGTTAATCTCTCATATAGGGGAGCACCTTGCCGTTTGCTTTATGTATGTATCTGTCATTTATTTGCAACATAATCCTTAGTGGCTCTTTGAACCTGAAATGAAAGACTTTTAGTCAAAGTGCTTTGAGCAATTGCAGTGAAATTACTTACCTATAACTTCTTGTTTCAGAATTTTCAAGACACCAGGTTTGCGCACGCCTGCCATAAATGAACGTGTTTACACCATCTCTGCCAATGGCAGCCCCCTTGCTGACAGCAACGATATCTTCATTACGGTCCCTGTTGGAGGAGGGGAGGTAAATCAGAAACTTTAATCTGTAAAATCTATGCTGAAGGGATAGCTTGTAACTTCTTGGGGGCCTTACCAGCTTCAAGTCATCCACTCTTGTCTCTTCAGTTGCGCCACTGCAGTTTATCAGGAGATTGAGCTAGCGTAAAAAGAACATGGAAAGATTTTGAGTCAGAAGTGGGAGCTGTTCAAGCTGGTCAAAGCAGAATGTAGAATGACGTTTTGCTGTGCATTTAACTAACATTTAAAGTAACTTCTGCTGGCAGTAATGTGTTAATGCACTGCAAGGAAGGTATGAGATGAGCTTCTGGTCAAGCTGCATGTTGTTCCCTGCCTGTATGTGGTCTCCTAGTATGCTTGGATTTTATTTACTTTTATTTTGTAATATTTTTTTTTTCCCCCTGCTTCTGGCTACTACAGCTGACCAAACAGAAAACCTAAGATTTGGGGTTTTTTTCACAGAGCATTCGTTTAACAGCAAGTGATTTAACCAAGAAGAATCTTCTTCATCTAAATCCAGAGGCCCAAGGAATTGTGAAGAAGCTATCAGTAAGTCTATGTATTTTTGTCAGCCACGACCTGAAGTTGTAAGGCAGTGTTGTCACTCTGTCATTAGTCACTGGACTGTTGAGCTGTAATAAAAACTCCTTATTTTTTCCCTGTCTTGTCCTGTATTTGGCTCATGTCACTGGTCAAGAAGCAGCATGAACTGAGAAGGGGGAAGGAGGGGGAGTAGTTTTACATCACATCTAGCTTAATACAAACTGTGGGTAAACCAGGCACTTCTTGAAAAAGAACTATTGTCAATGTTTTGAAAAACTGAATCGAAACTGAAAGTGCCTTCTGCTTCAGGCAGAAGTCGTAAGTCGTTGTGGGATATAAGCGTCTCTTAGAGTACTGATGAATTTCTCTTTCTTTCTAGGTACGTCTCGCACAAGCTTGCAGTGCTGCAAAAACCCATAGATGAAACTCAACGCATGTTGACGTCCCTCTGTAAATACAGAATATTACATTTAGGACTGCTACCTTTTTGTTCTTGTTCTAATTTGTGTCTTCCTTCCATTAATTTACAGAATGGAAGTTAAGAACTAATTTTTCTACCTATAATATGTAATGGGATTAGAATAGATCGCATTTTTTTTTTATTCAGGAAAAAAAATACTTTATTTTCTATTTCCTTTAAGGTTGAGGTCAAGATACAGTTATCTTGGCCTTGCGGACCAGCAAGCTCGGTAAGAAAGGCTATTCTGGTATCTTGCAGAAGACGTAAGCAGTGGACACAAGTGACGAGTTCGTATCTGTCTGGGCAAGGAAAGCAACAGATCAAACTTGTTGCACTTCCTTCCAAGCGCGTCCTTTCTCTGCAAATGTGCTTAAAAGGTGATGACTATCTCAGGATGGTACCTGAGATACCTAAAGGCAAGTTACTGGTGCCTGGGACTAAACGCAAAGCCTCTCGTAGTTCGTGATGCCACCATGAATAGCAATTCTTTTGTTCTTACAGCAGCCATTGTATTTGTAACTGGCTTTGAGGTTTTTATAGTGAGCTTATGCATTTTAGTGTTTTTAAAGAAATAAAAGATCACAGGTAGTTTAACTTCACCGAATCAATTAGCTAGACCGCTGCTTAACTAGATTACTGAGGCTAACCGTAGAGCTACTGGAGTATCTCTAATATGAGAGAACTTTGCTTTTCCTACAGCCCCTTCAAAATCTTTAGGAGAAGCAGTACTCCTGGAACTGAGTATAGACAGGAGAGAAGAAAGCTTGGACTGGTCAAAACACTGTATTGCCCTTTCTTCTCATCTAAATTGAGTTAATTCAGTGCATTTCTTTGCCAAAGAGCCATATCCAATAAATGCTGTTTGAACGAACAACATAACTTCCTCAGTCATTAATGGTTTTTTTTTCCCCCGTTGCTTATAGAAAATACAGAGAAATCTTGCTCCACTTCGAATTCAGGAAAATTCAACTTTAAACGTAGCCTCTTAGGAAAGGGTTAACGTATTTATATTTTAAAATGTAAGCAGGAGCACTCGTCTGGCTTAACACTTCCTTGCAAAATGAAGCAGGGAAGAAGTCTTGTATTTGCTTTCCTACAACCACTGTATTATTTTTCAACAGCGTGGAAAAGCAGAGCTCTCCATGAAGCACTAGCCCTCCATGGGAAGACGGCGTAAAGTCTTAAAATGTAAAAGACTCCTCTCACTCAAAACCCAGGGTTTCCTTTTTATTGTGACTCTTTGTAGCTGGTACAGGATGGGAGAGGACACTTCTCTCGTCTGTTGAACTAAGAGATGGAATCCCTTAAAAGGGTGGTTAGCTTCGATTCCTGAAGCGTTATTCTGTATGGATCGTACAAAGTCAAATATGTAAAATGGCATCTGCAAGAGACAACCTGATAATCCTTCCTCTGTGTCAGCAGGGAAGCTAACATGAGAACGTTTTAATTGGCATGTTAAAGAGAGCATTCAGAGTAAAGAACTTTGCTTCCGTAACTTTGGTCTTAAGTTTTTTTTTCTAAAAATAAGCCTGTTTGTTTGTTAGCTGGCGCACTGTCCTTTCCAAAGATACCTTTTTGTCCTTGATTTAAGCCTCTCTGAAAGAGCTATAAAGAAGGATGTTGAGACTTTGGGAATTTTTCTAGGTTTGGAAAAGTTCTGCTTTTGGCAAAAGCCAAGCCTACAGCATGAAGGAAGACCGGGAAAAGCTGCTATCAGAGGTAACTTATGCTTTGGCGTAAATCTTTGATGCCGTCTGTGGTATGGGAAAAAGTTTGTAGAACAGCATTCATACGTTAATTTCCTTTAAAAAGCAAGCGTGTCACTGTAATGCAAACCTCAAGTATATACCACGTATTTGGAAATCACCACTTAAGAGGTTTTGGCAGCTTCTAAGTCCTAACTGCAGGTGGCAATATTGTAAACGACTAAGCTACAAGTACGCTTGCCTTCCTGTCATTGAATTCTGTTAAAGTATTAATTAAAAAAACCAAACAAACAAAAAAACCACTTAAGCTGTAAATAAAACTGTAACACACTTGCTCGGATACAGATGTGTAAGTCTAGATTCTGCTTTAAACATGTCTTTACCGGGGGAAAAAAAAAGTGAACTAAAATGCTCAGCTAGCCCCGAGAATTCTTCTGTTAATGCTGTCTGCTTTTAACAGCTCTGGGTACAATCTTTAAGGCCCTGCGTTGACATGCTTGTTACGCTATCAGCCATTTCGGTCTCCTGTTTAATGCTGAGGTATGGTATTGTTACTTAGTAAATCCAGGAATTAATGTTGTTGCTAGTACTAGGCAGAAGTACTGTTCCTCTCGATTAATGAGTCTTGAGTGGCGAGGAGATGCAGATAGGACTTGTCTGCTTCCACAGACTTTTCCAACACAGACCTGAAAGCCTTGTGTCCCCGCAAGCCTGCCGACCCAGCGCTCCAACAGCAGGTCATACCTTTGTTTCTGACTCTAGATGTATGTGCCATACGTTCCTGATTCTTCTGGAGGATGAAAGGCCATACTTGTGCTATGATTGGGGTTAACACGCTATTTATGCCTCCAGCAAAAAAATGCTTGCAAAAGAACGTTTAGCACCTGGAAGAAGCAGAATCTGTAGAACCTGGCGGAGGGTTATGACTGCAGTTCAGTTTGTGCCTGTTTGGGTTGTCTGTGTGCTGAATTTGCTCTGTAGAGCGTGGCGGCGGCATAGCTCAAGGTTCCTCTTTGCAGAGGTGGTGCTGCTCGTGGCATTCCCGGCACAACGCAACCAACAATGCTGTTAATATTCAAGCTTCCTTTTCCAGTTGTCAGAGTTGAGTTAATTGTATCTGACATGAATTAAAGCTATCTGGCAGCTAATAGTGAAACAGATTCATCACCTAAATCCATTTTGCATGCTGCCTGCACCATGGGTAAGCAGTAGTTCATTTTTCTGCGGATTTATTGCTCATGTGAATTGTTGGCGTCGCTTCTGGCCCTTTTGCACGTTACATGGCAGTTGTGTTTTGTTTAACAAAGCTCGAACCTCCCTTTTCTATTCAGTTCAAGGATTATTGGGGCACCACAGGGAAGCTGGCTGACTTTTTTGTGGATTTGGGGGAGGTTTTGTTTGTGTATTATTTGGGTGCTAGCCTGGCTGTAGTCTGAACTGCTCTTTAAACCGAGTGATGGGAAATAAAAAGCACCACAGGAAAGAAACTATTCTGTCAGGTTGGAAGAGGCTGCATCCATCACTGGCCGGAGCAGTTCAGGCTACAGACAGAGACTGACGTTAGCTTGTGTCTTCTGAGCCACTGCTAGGTCTGAGTCGCTGTGGGCATGGCTTGGGACTGTCCTCTGAACAGAGCCAGTCTGGAGAGGCAAGGCTAGAGAACATCGAGGGGCCTTCTCAGAATATCGCTTCTGCATATGTTCTTTCCAAGAACTGAGCTACGTGACCTCCAAGGGCCTGTGTTTTGCATTAATAGGTGAGGCTCTGCAGAAGGAATTAAGCCCCCCGTGTTTTGTGGCTGCTTCCATGAGAAAAAGTGAGTTTCCTGGTTGTAATTTCAGTCATGATGACTGCTGCCAGGGCTGAGAGCTGTGGCTTTCTTGTAGGAAGGGTGCTTTGGGGAGTAATAGCCATGGTTTGCTAAAAGATTGCTGAGCACTGACTTTTTAAGATCAAAACTCCTGACCTGAACAAGAGCTCTTTCAAAATAAGTTTTCCTTGGGACAGAGCAAGCTGTTGAAGAGAGCTGGTGGTACTTTGAGCAGCACAGACCCAGCAGGGAGCAAGCAAGTAGCAGGGCATGTCTGTGTTTCACCACAGCTTTTATAGTGCTGGGTAACTATGGACTTGCAGGGAAAAAAGCATTGCTGCCTTCCCCCGGCTGGCTGGCACAGCGCTCAGCCAGCCAGCCCTCCAGCCAGGAGTTCCCGCTCGCACCGAGCGGGTGCAGCAGTACGCTGTGCGCTGGGGCGATGCTCGGGAGTCTCGGGGCTTGTGCTACAGCTTTGCTCTGGGCGTGAGACCTCCAAAGTTCGGCCCAAATTCATAATGGAAATGTGAAACGATTAATCTAGAGAACTAATGAGCAGAAGAGGTACCCAGTGAGGTACCTTCCCCAGGACGGGCTGACATTGAACTCCCGCAAAGGGACCGTGTTAGATAATGATCCTCATCGGCGGCTCTTCCAGGCAATTTGATAGATGTGCACTATCAAGCCTTGTCAGAAATAGCTCCGTATACAAAGCAAGCGTTTATCATCGTGGACACCTTGCAGGTGGTCACTGATTCGGTGACATTGTAAAGAAATAAATAGATAACAATTCCCTGCTTGCTGATAGAAGGGATGATAGTTTAGAACAAATTAGAGCTGTCTCTAGGCAATTTTTTCATGCAGGAGTTTTTGATTGGAAGGTGCAGGACAGCACATGCGACTCCTCCAACTGACCTGTATAATTCCACCAGAAATGGATGTTTCCTGGGTCAGCTGAAGGCATAAGAAGGGGAAATATTCCTTAGCACCACTGAGAGAAGCATGGAGGAGTTCATAAGTTGTTTCTCTTCTCTAAATAAGTGATTGGGAGAACTTCAAGTTGCAAGGTGAAATGCATGTCTGGAAACCCCTGCCATTTTGGTGAGTTTAGTTGAACAGGCTGCATCTCCAAATTTTGTGTTGAATTGCAGTGTCTGCAGCTAGCAGTAAAGGTATTCTGCACACCAAAAATTCATCCATTTGTGGAATTTGTGAGTCATTTTGAAAACACAGCTAAGTCTCAGGGGTCAGGGAAATAACAAGAAAAAGGTATTGTCAAAAAAGGCATTATTTGCTTAATCAATAGAACAAATTGCCTGAGTCAGAGTGTGCACGGACTGACTTTTCCATGCGAGTTCCCACATCTCAGTGGATCGGAGAGGGCTGTCTGGGGACCAGTGAGAAGTTCAAGCTCCTGGAGTCAAGTCTGTGATTCATGATACCGTTCC